AACTATTATACTATTTCCAGTAAGGTTTGGCTGCTCTTATTGTAAGAAAATTATTATCGCTTTATATCTTTTAAATATCTGTTATGAGTTTAAGAACCACATTTCTAGATTATTTCAGCCTAAAGCGTTTTTTGAAATCGATTTCGTTTGCTAGTTGATGTAATCAAATCTTGGGCTCAATTTAACCCAGATATAATATAAATTTATACCCTAGCAACTAATTGAATTGGTAACATTAGATAAAAGTTAATTGATAGGGTAATTTCTGATAACGCGAAATTTATCGATTTTCAAGTTTGGTGGTTCTTGAAGAATTTTCAGTTAAAAACTAACGAGATAGGTCTTTAAAATGTTTGATAATGATTTTAAATAAACTTGTTTGCGACTTTTGAGCTTATTACGAAATCATAGATCAAATTATAATGCTCTCCACCATTAAGGGCATTCCACACATGAGGGTGCTTTGGCACAAAAGCTGAAGCTGGAGCCACGGGTAAAAAGAGAGGAAGCGGTTTAATTCTGCTTGGTCGCTTTCACTTCCGCCTCATCAGGCGGGGTCCCCTATATCTTTCTATATATGTGTATGTGATTCCAAACCGCCCCCGCCCACTCGCAACTCAAACTCCAACTTGCAACTCGGAACTTCAACTTCGAAGTGAAGTTCCTCCATCAGCGTCATCAGCAGAAGCTAAAGACACAGCAGCTGGCAACTGCAGCAAGTGGGTTTTGATTTCACGTGGGGAGTGAGTGTGTTTTTATCCATTTCCATAGAGCAGAGGGGAATTGGATGGGAAACTGCCGCCTAATGCTCTTCTTCAACGCAATCAAATGTCTGTTTGCTCTTCTCTATTTAAATTGGGCATTACCAACGCTCCGGTGATATATGTTTCCTCTTTTGTTTGCCTGACATCTGTGCCGGCGTTGGATCAGGGTCTTGAATATGCATCTAACGATTAGCATATGGTCGGGTCACCCCATGGGAATTCACCAGAATGTGTGAGTTAAATGATAACACCAATTAGAAAGTGATTTGTGAACAAACCTCTTTTATAGATCACTTGTGACACTTCACACAAAGAAGCCAGAAGAAGATTACCTATTCAAGATTTCATTTCCAATTGCCGCCACTTGAACAAAATGTTTGTTATTTCCGGACAAATCGGATTAAGGAATGATACATTGAGTACTATTTTCAAGCTAAATATAATTAGAAACTTTGAAATTGTTTTTGGAAAAAAGATTTCGCTCACAAGAGCATGTCGTATAATGAGCATTTTACAATCACTAAATAGAATCTTTATTTCTATTCTATTTAAAAGTGAAATACAAAAAAACCCTCAAAATTACGTTATACAGTTAACAAAGGAAAACGGCAAGTTTTAATTAAACCTAAATTTATTAATTTACTCTTTAAGCCACCAAGTTATTTTAAGTTTAAAGATATAAATAAAAGTAAAACATATTTAAATATTTAAGAAACAAAACGAAGATGTATGTATGTTAAATTTGACAAAAATACAAATGAACTGCGAAACTGTCCTAAATATTTTCCGTAAAATATTTTGTGTGTCAGTCTTACATAAGCTCTACATGTTTCGGCAGTTTTAACTCACCTATCCCAGCTTTTTCACGCCATTTCTCTCTGTTTTCCCCCACTCGTTTGCCCTTTGCTTCAGTCAATTAGCAAAGTCAATAGGAAATGCCGCCACTGGCTCTGCTCTCAGTTCCGTTTAGTTCATTTCAGTTCTGCTGACGTTTTAGCATTTTGCTTGTTTAATTTATAAACGTCAGAAACTTCACATACATACTCCCTCCCACTTTTCCGCCAGTTAAAAGCTCTATTTGTATTTTCCCTGGAAGCACAAAAGGCGATTCCCACACGTTGCAATGAAATCCAAATGGCAAGTGCAAATTCAAGTACAAACACAAGTGGCAGGGCTTATGTGATTAGCCAAAGTTTATATAAAAAATATCTAATATCCAATCATTAGATTGGCTTACGGATTAAGGAGATGGTTTATATATATACCAGTCTTAAAGGAGTATCTTAATTATTAATTTAGAGGGCCTCTTTGCACACAAGACGAACAAGCGAAACTTTTGGATGTGGGACACAAGTTCAGCGGCAGCAGAATGCGGTTTGGGGTTAAATGTGGAGCAGAGTTGAATAATAGAAAAGATTTCGCTGCAACGGGTTCAGAAAACGGAACATTGCAAGCGACTCAAACCTGTCAATCATATACCGTTTAATTAAAGACATTTTTTTATTCCCTGCCTAGTATTAAATATATGTTTCGAAAAATAAAGTACTTTTTTTAATTGTACATTTGCTAATAAAAATCTACAACACGAATTTTTATAATCAAATTCATAATGGTATTTGTGTTACTTTAAGCCAGTTAAAATAACAAGATTTTCTATCATTGAAGTGAATCGTTTATAAATAGTACAAGATTATTTATTTATATTTTCTAAATTGTAAACCATTTAAAAGTGCAAATATAAATAAAGAAACTGGAGCAATTATTACAAGATTTAAAGGGATAGAACTGAGCGAAGAATCCTCAAGTGGAAGGCAACTCAAGAGTCAAATAACCACCACTTGAACTTCTCCATCTCTGGCCTTTTCCCCTCTATAAATAATCCCCATCACAGATGCAATAAAAGCACCAAACATAGAAACACCCCTCCTATTTACAGATCCCCCTTCTCATTGAAAAGCTCCATGCAAGCAGGGAGATCAATTGGATGATGACGACGAAAGTCATGCAAATGCTTAAGAGAAAGAAATAATAAAATAAAAACAAGAGGGACGAGTTCAACTTGTTGTCTCCCCCTTCGAATTTACACGATTCGTTGGCAGACCTCTCGAGTGATCTTTCCCCTGGGATCTCCGTTTCTTGTCGCCCCTCCACGGGCGAGTTAATAAAGATCAATTGAATTTAAACAAAGCAATTCTTTCGAGGAGAACATTCCAAGCCCCCCTCTGTCCCTGCTCTTTCCTTGTTTTTCCCTATGAATTCAAGTCAAGTGAGTGCGTCCAACTCTTGTTACAAGTGACAAAAGAGGGAAGTTCCTTCAAAGCAAATGCGCATTAACATGAATATAATTTAAGCAACAAAAGACAAAAGTGTGGGGAGGGAAAACAATTAAAAGACATTGAAAACAGGAAACCAAGATGAAGCGAAATGAGCTGCAGAAGAATCAAGAGCTTGACCCAAAACTTGTTTAGACACTCTTCAATCATCTTTTCCATTCTTCTTTTCTGGTCATTAGTCAAAATTTGAGCATCGAAATTAATTATACAATACAAGGCCCACAATGGGAAACGTTTAATTGGAGGGAAAGCCCTCAAAATGAAACAAAAAAAAACAAACCACAACAGCAGAAGCTATTTAAAGTTTCCAAACAACTTCTACGACGACGACTTCCACTTTCCGAATTGGACAAAACTTTTTGTTACATTTACAATTTGGGACACAAAAGACGCCAAGTCGCTGGAAAAAAGCTGGCCAAGCGAAATCTTGACTTTGAAGTTTGTAGGCATAGAAAATTCAGTTTGGTTTCAGTTTCTCAGTTTTTTTCTCCGCCTTTGATTTGCTTTTCTTCTCAGCGAGAAAAAAAATTGGCAAGCGAACCTCTTGAAAGCGAAGTCTAATTAGGCGATGTCAATGAGTGGAAATGGGAGCAGAAAATAAAGATTCTCTTGGAGATTAAAGTGTAATGAAAGTGAGTGGTAAAAAGAAGGGTTACAAAAGAAGGCACTTGCATAATCTAGCTTTGCAACAAAAGTTACGGACCACAAAAAAAGTCTAGTGGAAACGAAAAAACCATAATTAAGTGCAGATTAACGTGGAAATGTTGGATTACATTATAAATCACATTGTATATTTTCTAAGTTGTCTATTTTTATAATTTTTATCTAAGAAGACCATTAAAACATTAACTTTGCAGTATGGGAACTTTGAAAGATTTTGTTACTTTCATTTCTGTAATGAGCACTTCTATTTCTAATATACTAACAGAAAAACTATAAAGAAAATAATACAAGAAACAAATTATATATAAGCAATACTAGAATTTTAAATTAATAGCCTAATTGAATTTTGTTTTTAACATAGAAAATTGTTGTTTACTTTTTCTACTAAATAGAATTTAACCAAAATTAACAAATTTACTGATCTTACAAGGAAAGAAGTAATAATGAAGTACGAATAGTAATTGCAAAAAGGGGCGATGCAAAGACAGTGACAAATCGAAATATTGCCCCCTCTATCACTGCATCTTTTTTCCTCTTTGCCTGCTTGACCACTTTTATTTTCATGCCTCAATTGATGCACCCCACTCCCATTTTCTCTTTTCCCCGACCCCGGCCCCGTCCCATTTCCTACACCTTTCCCTTTGAGCCCCGCACTACCGGCCATTCTCCGCGGAGTGAAAAATTGATTGTCATGCAAAAGTGAACTTTAGTTGTGAGTTTTGAGTGAAGTGAGCGAGGTGAAGAGGCCCAGTCAAGAGTGGAGAGAAAATGTATATAAATAAATACATAAAGCTATTGTCATTCTTCTTTTGCCTGTTTGTGGCTTCCGAAAGCGAAAAGTTCGAGTGTGGCACCGAAAAAAATATAGTCAATCCACCATTTGTTATTAAAATTCGAGATGTATCTTTATATTGTTTATCTTAGATTAAATCTCACAAATTTAAACTTTGTGTACTTTATGACTGTTATTGTAAATACCACATTACACTTTATCTTTATCAAACTACAAACAATTTATGATTTACGACAAAAAAGGAAATAATTTAAATAATAAATAATAAATAATTGTATAAAGACATTATAGCTAAAGACAGCAAAATTATATCGGTTACTTATGGTATTCAGCAAATCAAAATATATTCAGTATATACCACGAATGTATTTAATCTTAGCGTTTTAAAAACTTTTTTTTTTTTGGTATAGTCTTTTTTTGGGATTTTTAGTAAGAAACTTAATTCTTGTAAGCAACTCTAAAGGTGGCAACCTTGGCTGTCAAATTGAAGCTAGTTAGCAATTTTGTCTCAGAACAGTGACTGTCGAATTGAGGAGATTGAGAAAAGAAAATGAATTCCCAGTTCAGCCGAAAAGCCACAGTAAGTTTTTGTTAAATGCTGCCATCGGTAGGTTTAGTAATCCCCTATATTCCTATTCCGATGTAAGCCAGAGTCAACAACAACACTCACAGCTATAGAACCAAAGCCGTCGACCAACCTGGCGAGCCAAAAATCGAGATCCGCGACGGTGGTGCTGAAGGGCCGTAATCGCCGTCGTCGCCATGATGGAGCTGCCGGTGGCTTTGGAGGGGTTGGTGCAGTTGGAGGAGTTGGTGGTGGTGGCAATAAGGGTGGTATCGGCAATGAATCCTACCAGTTCGTTCCGGTGCGCCGTAAACCCTTAAGCGAGTACATGGTGCTTGAGGATCCGCCTGCTCCCAGTCGTCCATCTGCAGCCCCTTCCAAATTGCCGCTCGATAAACCTCCCATGAGCTATGCCGCAGCCGTGGAGTCGCTCCCAGTGTCCAGGCTCAAGATCAAGGTGGTATTATCTCCACGTTTCAAACGGGCCAGCAATCAGCTTCCGGTAAAGCGGCAAAGCCCCAAACACTCCCAAGACAACAAGTTCAAAACGATCACGCCGCCGCAGTCCAAGCCAACTAATGCCCAGGTGAATCCCAAGTGGAAAGTGGTCCAGGTGGCTCCTCAGTCTCGCATTGCCCAGGTCAATCCCCATCCAATCAACTCGACGCTAGTAGCCAGCTGTAAGAAATCCAAGGCCAACAGATCCAAGCAGGCCAAGCAAAAGAAACGAGAAGAGGCTGCCATTAAAGAGCTCGAAGTTCCAGAGAAGCCTCCAAATCTCCTGCCTTCCTCGCCAAAGTTCTCCGAAGCCTTCATCTACTTGAATCACCACCACGAGCAGATGCAGCGCATCCTGGCCGAACAGACTGCTGGACAGGAACTTCATCTTAATCGTGGCCAAGTAAAACCCTGTAAACTCAATGCCCACCTCCCGACTCATCGATCCCTCTTCGACCTCGATGAACGGCTATTCATTCGCGGCGATCTGGAGGCCATCGCAATATTCGCCCAGAACAAGGCCATGCTGCGCAATTGGCTGAACCCAGGCCTTTTGATCTGCTAGGCAACCCCATTTAAGCCCTTACAAATGCAAATTTATCAGTTAGTTTTATGTATTGAAAGTAATTATGTTAAATCAAAATTCGACTCAAAATTTTTAGAACAATCTAATTAGCAAAAGAGCTGCTCAACCAACGCAATGCGAAAATGGCAGCCAATAGAGATTAAACATATTTTTGGGTATACTCGACAATAAAGATTTTTAAAATAAAAATCAAGTAGGCAAATCGTTAGTAATAAATAAGAAAGGGGATTTAAATATGTGGTCCAAAAGCTCATGACTTTAAATTATTATTATTATACATTTTTTATGTACATTTTTTTTTCAAATTTCCTAAATTGTTTTAGCACAACGTTTTCATTATTCTTTTTAATTAAATTGCATATGAATTATGATATCGTCTAACTGAACTAGTTTTTTCCCAGCGCATCGCTCCCTCGATTTTCCTAATATTCCTTCCACCTCTTTTTGAAGTTTGTTGCTGTAGTCATTTGTCACTCGAAAAGGATGCAAAAATTAAAACATGGCCCAGTGAAAAGTGATGGCCTATTGGCGCGGCCAAGGAGGGGTTTAACAGAAGGGTCAGCGGGGTCAGGCAAGTGCAAATGTGTGCCATGACAGAAGCGGAGGTGCGCAGAAGCCGAAGGGGGGTCTCGTTAAGTGGCAAACGAAGTCAAACGGACGGCGACGCTTTTATTTTTGATGCTTCGCTGCCTCTTTGTGTGACTTCTACTCTCTACTTTCCTCTTTCGGTGCTCGATTCGTGCTCTGCGAAATTGGCCAGAAAAGGCTGGCCAAAAACTGGCACGTTCCTATAGCTAAAGCTATAGAGCTACAGAGCTCTCTTTCTCGATCCCCCCGACTTCCCATGACAACATGACAACAAAGAGGTCATTTACTTTCCTTGCGAGCATGAAATAATCGTTCCTCGTGGCTGTGACTCTGAAAAAAAGATGTAAAAACATCGAAAACAGCTCGAAAAGTCAGGCCAAAGCCAAACAAAGAGCAAAGCAAAAAGTCAAACTCACATATTTCGTGCAAAATAAAGCGCAAATGCAACAATGACTACTATTGGAATGGTGCAAGTTTAAATTGAAACTTTAAGATACTCTGTATTTCAGATTTCTTTAAATTTAAGATACAAAAGTTTCTACCCAAAGGTACGATTTTTGTATTTTAAAATATCTTTTATCTTTATATTATTTTTAAAATGTTAAGCCCAAAGTTTAAATTTAGAACTATACTGTGCCAAATGAAATACCTGATTTAGGTGAGAATACCGACAACCACAGTAGTCAAACCTTTTATTTTATAGTTATAAGATCAAAAACTTTCCAAGTTTAAGGAAAAATCATATATACCCTTTTCCATAAATGGAATAAGACAGGAAGGAAAATATAAAGCTGAGAGATAAATGAAATTGGCAACAGAAATGCCATCCACAGAGGATATAGGCACGGGAACAAGCTTACTTTATGGGCTACTACCAGTCAAGTTGACTTCTCCATTCGGAAACGTTTGTTTTTTAATTTTTTTGGTGGTATCAAAAATCGATTAACAAAGCGTCGGCAGCAATGCGCCGCATAAAGCTGCAAAACGTTAACGGCAATTTAAAAAGGCATTTCTTTCAAACGAATTCGCGTGCCAATCTATGTGTGTGTTTGTATCTATGTGAGGAAGCAAGAAATAAGAGATAATTGGTATAAAATACCCGTTTATTGCTGTCACGAGTATCGATTTCTATATCAGGATGTGTCACGTGCAGATAGCAGGCAAAGCAAATCCTACTGAAAAGCCTCTATAATTCTATCTTCGTTTACATTGTGGTGACTAAAGAAAATGGGTAAATGTTTATTATTTCCCTCGAGTGATGTAATATACTATTGTTTGATTTTCATGGTTTAAAATCAACACAATTATTGCGTAAGCAAATTGGACTTGAACGTCAAAAAACAATAGTTTAAACTCAGCTTCTGATCTCATAGGCAGGGCTTTGTTTTACTATAAAATGCAGGTACAGCGAATATTTAGGTATATAGGTATATATGTGTATTTAGGTATAAAAAAATTGTTTAAATATACTAGAAAATAAGTTTTAGCTTATTAGTTATTTATTTTAAAAAAGTGATTCTCTAAGTAATAATGTAATAAAGTTAAAAAATATATATATCAACAAAAAAGACATTTGGAATATTAAAATAACATAAAAAATCAATAATTAGTCAGTAAAAATTAATTGCTATGCAATGGGGATCAATCATCTCCGCTACATAGCAATCATTTGTTTTGTCAAGCTTCTGACCTCATGGCATTCTATTGCTCAACTTTATAGACTGTTGTGAAATGCATGCATTTAAATTATTTCGCAATCACTGACACACCCAGCAACAGAAGGCAGCCGCAAGTTAAACACAAATCAACACAAGAAAACTAATGCAATTTTATGTGAAGGTAGGTTTACACTTCCCCCTCATTTCAGTTTCATCAAATGCCATGTTTACAAGTTTCAGCATTTCCATTAGGCGAAAAGCACACGCAGACGCATATAAATGTTTTATAACCGACTTCGATGCGTCTGGTGACTTTAAAATAGTCTTCATTACTCCATTGTCTATAATTAGAAGCTGCTGACTCGAGGAAGAGGAGAAGCAACTCTAGAAAGACGAGACTATAATTAGGATGTAGTTGGCGGAGGGGGGTATTATAAAGGGGAAAAGGGGTCTTAAGATTGACACGTTTCAACGCTGATGCTTGAAGCTGATTGCCAATCGGAATTTGTTGATGGATTCAATTCGATTCGATTCAAAAGGGGGAAACCTAACCGATTCGTAATGTAAATGTTTGTCTCGAATGGTGCGTTATCAGCTTCCGAATTTCAACGGAACAGCAACAGAAACTCAGAACATAAACACAGATTGACAGCCAAGCCAAGGGCAACAAAATGGAACTAAAATAAAGAAGGGCCTCAGTCTCAAGTCCCAGACTAGAGGCAAACAAAAGTTCAATAAAAATAAACTGGAATTAAGCATAAACCAATAAGCGGACGGCCACGAAAAACTAAAAAGAAACGAAAGCCCCACTTTGCGTGTACTTACAGCTGTACTTAACGAATTAGTTGGAAAACAAATTATGTGAAAAGTAAACCACTTGAACTTGATAGGTTACATAGCTTTTGCACAATTTAAAAACAAATAAATAAATAAAAAAAAATAATTTTAAACATAAATCAGTGATGAAGCCCACTTTAAATTTTATAAAGGGATATTAGCTTGATCGAAAAATAATCAAAAAGAGTAAAAATAGTATCTTAACAGAAATACACATATTGTTTTCCTTTTTTTTTCGAAAGATGAAATAGAGAATTAAAACAATTTGACACATCTCAAGAGGAAAGATAAATAACGATTAAATTAAACATTTAATTGACAAATTTCCTAAAATTGTGAAATTTTTATTTTTTTGGGCGCTAATTTCGCAAATACCACTGTATCAGATTTATAGCTTGAGTATGTGTGAGAACGCAGTAAAACAAACTGGTCTCAAGTCTCGAAAATATGCGCTCAAGGTCGGTCAACGGATTTGCTTTTGTTGCTTTTTCGAAAGACAACAACAAAACCAGCTGCAACTAAAAAAAGCAGTCCAAAAAAGACGCAAGATCGCAGAAACTGAGCTGCAACAAGCGCCGCTGTGAGAAAGAGAGGGCGAGACATAATTAGAGAGGGAACCCCGAAATTCTGCTAGCGGAAACAGCGGCGGCAAACGTAAATTAAAAGCAATTGTAGAAATTTCCTGAGTTGGCGAAAAATATGAAAACAGCAATTGTTGTTGTTGCCGCCACCCGCGCACATTTGCACTGAAAGAAATTCCCAGGGAAACTGATCATTGATTGATGGGATATTAGGAGGATTTTCAACTACCGAAATAATTTATCTTATCCTAATCTTCAGAAATCTCTTCTTCGGTTTGGATTTGATTGGAAGAGATTTCTGAAATAAACAAGAATAAAGAATAATCATATATAATACATGATAGTTGAAATAGATCTGTTTGTTTTTCTCGGTGGAGTAGTGCTATTACACCCACACACAGACTCTCGCGAAGCTGCGCCGTTATTTTTCAGTAAATATTTGAATTCCGCGAAGCAAATGGAAAGGCAGCCAAACAACTTTTGCGCTTATTAAGCATAGGATAATAAACAGAGAAGCAGAGCAACAAAAAAGGCACGCATGATCAATGGGGCATTGGGGATAAAACAAGGAGAGGGAGCGGGAGAGCAGAACCCACGGCATGTGCCAGCTAGCCGTCTCGCTCTGGCGCCCGCAACAAGTGCACAAAGCAGCGGCTTAAACAAAAAGGAGCTACTAAAAACCTTTAAGAATTTGAATAGGATAACTTTGAAAATATAACTCACTTTATCCAGACACTTGAGCTCCTCGATGGGATAGACAACCTTCTGACAACGCGCACAGGTTTTGTTCATCTTGCCGCTTTTTCCTCCTTTGTTTTTTATTATTTCTTCAAATGTGTGTATGTATAAGCACTTTTATTTACACTCCAGGACTTTACTGTTAACTCTTAAATTTTCTCTTTTAGCGACACTATTCCACTTCACGATATCCACACGAAATCAAATCGGCCTAATTTTGCATATTGCGAATGCTGGGATTTTCTGGTGATCTGCGATTTGAGAAGCTGATCGGATCGAAATAGGAACTATGGGAATGTATTTGTTGTGTGCGCAGGTACGGGCCGAGAATTTGTTTCACACTATTCACAAAAACATCTAATAACTGGTTTGCTTGGTTGTTATATAAAAAACTGGCGATCAACCAGCGACTTTTTATCCAATTTACACTTTTTCTTTTAGTTTTATTAATTTTCAGCTGTCGCGACTGCGCTGCAGGTAAAAGCGACGCGCGAAGAGGAGAAAATCGGAAAACGAGTGTCGAGGCGAAGTTGTCGTTTAAATGCCGTTATTTTTGATAACAACACCCAGAAATCGTAATCTACTATTTGTGTATTATTTTTAAGGTGAGTTTGATTGAGGCGCGACACAAACGAAAAAACGCGACAGTCCGCGATAAAAATAATTCCGTTCGTTTGGAGGTTTAGAGTGACCGCAGTAGAGTGACCGTTTCATGTAAGCGTAAAGAAACGCTGATGACCACGTCGATGTCATCGATGTTTTTAAATATCGATATTAACGATGTTTTTCCGGCACCATCGGATTTCTTCCATCTCTGACGAGTATCAAAAATCTCACTCCAATTTTTGCGCACTGTTAACGATTTCACTCCTGTTCTAACGGACTCTGTTATTTTCCACTCCATTTTTTCCAGATATAACGAACTTATTACCCCATACAAACAAATTGGATCATAGCACTGTAAAAAATGTTTGCTTATCTGCCGAAATATATAAAGTACAAATTAAGGCTTTCATTAATTAAAAAAATTTCAGATGTTTATTTATTTTTTACTTAACTATACAAGCATTGTATATTCTCTTGAAAAATTAATGTTGTATTATTCGATTGTAAGTCATTAACGACAATTAAATTTATTTTTTTTATAAAATATAAAATCACATTTAAGTGTAGGTATACAAACAATTTGAAAAGCACAACGGATTTAACTTCAGGAACGAAAATACGAGCCAAAACCTATCGCCTGGGATCGATAGACCGATATACCTCGTACCGGCTGCCGTACAAGGTGCCCGCGGCACTTTACCCACCACCCTCAAATCCTTGGAGTTTTTACTATCGAATTTTTGGTGTGTGTGTTAATTTCCTGCAGTTCCCAGGGCGTAGGACTAAAATTAAAGGCAAAACCAACAAAAATTTGTGTAAACCAATGGCCAAATAGATTCAGAGCACGGTAAACGACAAAATCAGTGTGTAAATGGAAGCCAGACGAGTCGAATTGGATTTTTTCGAGCTGCAAAAAACGTGAGTGTGTCACCCATTTCTTTGTGCTTCATTTTTTTCCGGGGGCCAGACACAGAAAGTTATGAAAGTTGTGCCATTAAAAGGGAAAAATTAAACAACGAATAACGATTAACGGGCAATGAAATATATATAACTTACCGCTGCATAATGAAAGGCGTAGTATTAGCTGCATCCCTTTCCCACCCCCCACAACGCCCTAAAGTAGGCAAAGTGGAAGTAAACACTCACACAGATGCCACTGTTGGAAAATCGATAATCCGTGCGTGTGTATGCGCGTGAAAGTGTGAGTGAGACAAAAGCCGGTGTGTTCTATCGGCCGACTGACACGATAACAACAACAATCTGGCTGAAAGTCGTGTGTGTGTGCTAGAAGGACAGCAGAGGAGAACAACAGGACCAGTGTAAACAAAGCACAAAAAGCACTATAATAAAAAAACAACGAAGCAAAGCTAAATTATAAATCATAAATAAAATACCTCAAATAAAGCACAATCATTATTCGCAACATAATACGCGGCCAAAGGAATTACTACACGAATGCCAATCAGCTTTTTCTGAGCAAAATGCAGACGCTGCGCAAGAAAACGAGTCCTTGTAAATGTAAGTGAAATACTTTGTATTATTCTGATTATTATAATTTATTACAATTAATTTGAAGCTTTTATTTTGGTTAATTGATTATTTACTCGAAATAATGGACTGTTCAAAACTTTAAGTTATAAATTCTAAGCTTACCGTTTAATCAATTCTCATGGAGTCGATATGAGGAATTGATAATTATTTATAGAAACAGTATTACATGAGATTTATATACATATTTAAAAATTTTTACCAAAGACTATGAACCATAAACTGAAAAATTGAATATATATTCCTTGTACTGAAATTTATTTGTATATTTTCAGTAAGTGTATTTTTGTTTTAATGTTAAGTTTATTCAGTACTTGTCGAATTGACCATTTGTTATTAATTAAGCAAGATTATCGTTAAAATCTGCGAAGTAATATTATCTAGGATTAGGTATTAATATTGCGAGTCATTTCTTTCAAATTTCGATAAATCAAAGCAAAATCCCCTCGATCGTTAATTTCACCTCTAAGCCGTATTATCGATGGGAGACTCAGCAGCATCTGCCAATCGAATAGCAGCTGCTGCGCCGGCGTCGCAGTTTGTCGGCAGGTGGTGCAGTTTCCAAAAAAAGAACAACAATGTGCGAGATAGATCCCCGCATTCTGTACTTTATTTTTCGCCGTGAAAATCACTAAATAATAGAGTGAAATCTGTGTACACCCGCGAGTGTCTCCATGTGTGTGTGCTTTTTTTGTTTGTTATTTGAATTGAACAAACTGCGACAGTCCAGTCAAAAGAGAAGAGAGCGAGCAGCATCGTTTATACGTTCTCATTCGCTTTTATTCATTCCATGATCGCGGTCGCGGATCTCAAATCGTTCTCTGCTTGAATTTAATTAAATCTATACTGTCGCGAAAAATTGTTGTGGAATATATTGTTTGTTCTCCATTGTGTTCTGCCCGTCTTCCACCTCCTCCACCCTCGATGAAAATGTCAACACAAATACACAGAAACAAGAGGCCAGGAATGCGACAATGATTTTGTTGACACTCCAGTGAATTCCTCACTTCCAGAATTTCCCAGGCAGCGCTTTTCCAATGAGCAGAGCCCTCTGAGCCATTGAGCTGAAAAATGGTTAAATCCCTGGTGGCCAAGTTGTCCACAGCCTCATCCAATCTCTCTTTGGCCAGTACCTTTGGCGGCGGCAGCGGCGCGGCAGAGGAAACGAATTACGCAAAACGTTAGCAAAAACAAACTAAGCAAATACACAAATCACAAACAAACACAGTGATCTCTCCACAAAGAAAAACGCAAACAATGATTTTAAAAGAGTTAACGAGCCAAGTATAAAGCTAATACATTAGAAATTTGCAACATATTTTCTGAAAAAAAATCAATTGATAAGACCAATCTATAAATATAACTATAGTGCTTGTGGAGCAATAAAAAAAACACATTTTAAATTTATTTATTTAATTGAAGTTATTGATTAAACTCGAGGTTCCACGCTTATTTAAGAATACAACTTTTTAAATTTAAATTCCCTTTTAATATATGTATAAAATAAAAATGAAAAGTGAATAATACAAAATTGAGACCGAGGTATATAAAAAAAATTGTAATTAAATTCAAGATTATTATATAGTAAAAATATTTAAAGAATATCACTTTTAATTTAAAATCCATCCCAAAATATAAACTTAGATTGTACCCAGTGAAAAAATACAAACCAAATTTTTTGAAAAGAAAAACATTTTTTTAAAGACGTTTTAAATTGTATTTAATAACGAGTAAACCGTTAAACATTAAACACTATTAAATTTTGGATGATCCAATGCAATAAAGATTGCTCAGCCAAGCACAAGATTATCAAAGAGTCTGGAAAATGATTCACTGAAAATATTTGCATTTGGTTTCGCTCCATTAAAAACATATTTATACACGCGTTCATTAATGATTAATTAGGAAATGGCATTTAAAACAATTACGCGATAAAATACAAAAAAAAAATGATTTGTAATAACAACATTACAAAATTTCAAGTGCTTACAATTGTTAGGTATATTAGTAGAATCTTTTTAGGTTTAGAGAGCTAAACTAAAAATTATTTGTATTTTCGTTTTTAAATAATACAATTAGATACTGACTTATATAATTAGATATACATTGACTACAGGCTTGTTAAAAGTTAGTTCTCTCAAATTTATTTAACCACTCCCCATATTCTAAAGCTTATATTTAGCTAGTGACCACTGCACCTTATAAAGCATTTTCGACAAACAAAAATGAATTGAACACACACCCTAACAATTACAAAAACTCATTCTGGCTTTCAATTTTCCACCGCATTTTTCCAGATCGCAATGATCCGGGACGCTTTTTCGGCGATGGCGTCCAGTTCAAGGCAAAGCTCATCGGCATTCTGGAGGTGGGCGAGGCCCGAGGAGATCGGATGTGCCAGGAGGCACTGCAGGACCTCAAGATGGCCATCCGGGCGGCTGGAGAGCATAAGCAGCGAATAACGATCCATGTGACTATCGACGGGCTGCGGTTGAGAGATGAGAAAACGGGTGACTCCCTGTACCATCATCCGGTGCACAAGATCTCCTTCATCGCCCAGGATATGACGGATTCGAGGGCCTTTGGCTATATCTTTGGATCGCCGGACAGTGGCCACCGGTTCTTCGGCATCAAGACGGACAAGGCGGCCAGCCAGGTGGTGCTGGCCATGCGCGATCTCTTCCAAGTGGTCTTCGAGCTGAAGAAGAAGGAGATCGAGATGGCGCGCCAGCAGATTCAGGGAAAATCCCTGCACGACCACGCCAGCCAGCTGGCCTCCCTGTCCTCGCTGAAGTCCGCCGGCCTTGGTGGCATAACTTTGGGGCATTCGGATTTAGCCAGTGGAGGACTTTCCTCCGGCCATGCCCTTACCCTGCTGGGCAGTAGTCTTGGCGCCTCTAATGGAACAAGCAGACTGGGTGTGAATCTGGACGTTGCAAAGGCTTCAGGATCGGCGGCCAAAGAGGTAAATACAATTGTAATATATTCTCTTCAAGCACCTTATTAATAACACTCTTTTACAGATCTCTCCCGAATCCGTGGCCGATCTTGTGGACCTAGAGCAGGAGCTTACCTCGTTGCAGCGAGGAATAAGTCAGATGGAACGGATCACGCCAAATGAACCCTCCACTTTGGTCTCCAGCGGTGGTGGGGCTGGCCAGCCCTGTTTGGCCAAATCCGCCAGCGAGGATGATCCCTTCGGAGACTCTTTCATCTATGTGCCCTCCTACAGCATCCTGCCACCGCCTCCAGATTCCGGTCGCAACAGGCATAAGCCGCCTAACAAAACACCAGAGGCCATTGCCAGTTTGGATGCTATGCTCTCGCCGCCTCCAGGCGCTAGTAGCACTCAATCTCCGGCCACCACAGGACTCCAGATGGCGGATAACGACGATGACAACTGGCTGCAGGAACTGGACCAACAGAATGATGTCTTTGATACTACCAAAGTGGTGGGGAGCAGTGGATTGGGATCGGTTTTGGCCATTGCACCTTTAGCTTCCAGTGAATCCACAGCCACGCCCACACAACAACTGACGGAGGTCGC